TGAGAACATCAATGCAACATCTATGCCAGAAGAGGTAAAATTTGCCTTAGATACTCTAAAAAGTGGTAGAACTGTGGGAACACACTGTATTGCCGTTCAGTGTACTCACAGCTGATACAATGGCTGCACAAGCGGGTTGCAAATTTTGCAGTCATTAAGTTTATCCAGCAGCCTGATAAAATGATTCGTCCGAACGGATATCAGGCCGTGTACAGTAATTATCAAGAATTTCCAGCTCTCAGTAGTAAATAGAATATTTCCTATGGTCATGATTAAAAGTATACGAAGTGTAGAACCAAAGATGAGACAGAATCAAAGCGATTTCATAGGAGCACTTGCGCATAGTCTACTGTATCACTCGGCATTGCGTTCCTGAACAGTGCCAAAGGTATTTAAATCCAATTCAGTGCTTAGCATCGAGCTGAAATTTTTTAAAGCATTGCTTGGTTTTTTAAGCGTTCATTAGAAGGCTAGAAAATGGCAAAACTAATTGATTCAGTGAAATCCTCCAGTGAAGCTATCTTGCTACCGGGCTACCACGTGTCCGGCAAATTGCTGTGGCTACGGAGACCACACAAGTAGACTAGAGAACATCGCTGCGGTGCCCTGTTCAAGAAGGCAAATCATAAGGAGTACAAAAATCATGACATTGCCTTATTGGACCTCTAAGGGAAAATCTGCACAAAGATGCTGGATAGGCGGTACAGCCAGCGCAGTAATGAACAGTGTGGCTTTCGCTTAGGCCCTAGCACCTCTTACCTTGTCTTTGCGCTGCGTCTGAGTACTGAAAAGCCATAGAAGTGCGCTCAATCGGTTGCCATGCGCTTTGTAGATCTGGAAAGCACTTGCGACCGGATCCACGCTACAAGCTCTATGCATGTCTGCAGAAGTATGAAATCCAAACACCCATTTTCAACAAAACCTGGAACCTGAAAGGCAGCTGTGATGACCACTGCGAGAAGTTGGCCGAGAAATTGAGGTGTGGCGTAAATTAAGCCGATGTGGTAGCATCACAAAGATGGACAGGAAGGATGCGAGAGAGGAAGCAAAAAGTTTGCTAAAGAAGCGGCTGAAAATGAAGAGAGATTGTATATACAGGCTTGATACTCTCATCTCTGCCAGCTGATTTGATGCTGAAAGAGTGCATGGAGACCTTACGATTGCGAAAGTTACAGGAAACAGCCGATGATCGCTTAAGCCTGAATGTAAGAGAGAATTAGCGCTTTATCAGTCGATACCTCTGCCTTGAAGTACGGGGATAGTGCATTATAGTCTGTCAGAGCTGATATGCGGTCGATCTGTAATGAATTTTACACCCTGCCCTTTGCGTCAAAAGCATGCCCCCCTTCCATTCCTCTGCACTCCCGGTCCTCATAGGCGAAGTTCGGCATGCTTGGGCAGCAAATTAATGAAGAAAGCGACCCAAGGAGTGACGGTCTAACAATTGAAATGACCGGAGCAGGTAGTCAGACGCTATGGATAGCTCTAGCACAAACGTATACCTGGAAAGAGAAAATATATAATCAGCTGGAAGGAGTAAAAATATCATGCTGTTCAGTAAGGGCGAGAAGGAAGATCTGTTTTACTGTCCCACAATCTATATGCTCTCACATGTCTGCAGACTGTTCACCGAGATCATCATCAGCAGGATGTCTACAGGTCTGGATGAGCAACAAATTCAAGAGAACCCAAGAATCCTAAAAAATGCAGCACCACGGATAACATCTTTTCCTTAAATCAACTCTACGAACGAATATGGGAATACCAATTTGGTTGGATTAGCGTCAGTCGTTAACAGCTCATTCACCTAAGGTTCGCTGATGATGTGTTGTTTACCGAGCTGTGTCAGCTACAAGTCATGCTGCAAGAGGTCGAGAGAAACAAGGCAGAGGTCAGACTGCGAATAAATCGATCATAGACGAAGTTACTGTGATCGGATGCTCAGCCGAAGGTCCAAGTAATATTAAACTGCGAAAAGATCAAAGAAATCGATAGATACACTTACCTACGCCATGAGATCAGCATGTGAAGTAATCGAGCTGTAGAGATTCTGCGAATGAAGGGGGCCAGGCACTCGTTCCATTCCATTAAGGACGTCTTCCTCGCTAACATCAGGAAAGAAACTTGTTCCAAACTCTTCAATTACTCCGTCCTGCCAGCAGTGCTGTCTGGCTGGAGAACGTGGGCACTCACTAAAGCCGAAGAGCAGGATTTAATATCTGTTACCGAGAGAGCCATGAGAGGAACGTCGGAAATATTGCGTGACAGCCACATCCTGAACACGGTGATCAGACAGTGGACGGGCGTGAAGGACATTTTCGTGGAAAGCTGACAGGAGAAACTACGATATATCGGGCATGCGGCTCGGTTCGCAGACAGGAGATGGTCGCCTGATGGTATTCTCGCGAGCGGACTAGGCCGTTTGGTCACCCATCACGACTGTGGGAAGATGTCATGAAGAGTCGACAAATTTTTTCAATTCATTAGTACAGTTGAATCCATATTTAGCTAATCCCGGGTGTAATTGTTTTGTGTTGTATGCTACACTACAAATCAACACTCCCTTGTGTTTGTCTTGCCATTGAAATTGGTCGTATTTCCGATTTATCGCTGACAGATTTCAGAGTCAGGAGGCTACTTTTTCTTGATTCGCTGGTTGTTTGTTTCAGGGAAGCAAATTATGGATAGTAATGGAATACCTGGGCGCTGGCTCGGCGTTAGATTTGATGAAGCCCAGTTCCCTGGAAGAGCATCATATTGCTATCATTCTGCGAGAAATACTCAAAGGGTTGGATTATCTGCACTCGACGCGAAAGATACACCGCGATATCAAAGGTAAACGCACAGATTTCACGCCCCTGTTGCTACTGCCGTTGGTTTTGCATTGTCTAGCGGCGAATATCTTGCTTTCTGAGCACTGCGAGGTGAAGCTGGCCGATTTCGGAGTCGCTGGGCAACTGACGGACTCAATTCGTAAGCGTGTGACGTTCGTTGGAACTCCGTTCTGGATGGCGCCCGAGGTTATATTGCAGTCATCGTATGACATCAAGGTATTTGTTTCAGTTCAGCATGTTCTGTTGCTTCCTACTTAAGCATGTATGCGCTGTTTACAAGAGGCAAAATAAAGTTGTGACTGCTAGCGATAGCAACGAGAAGTCATTAAAATGATTTTGAAATCTCGTTTGGATCCCGCCTCTCCTTCGATGTAAATGACATGGATTACTGACTGCATCCAGCAGACCTCTGTTAAAGTTTTTTCTTTCGTTGCCGATTTTCGGCGAAACAACAATGGCCATTCGCAACCGATCCATTACTCGTTCTCAGGATGGCCAGTAACTTTTGGCCCAAAACTTTTAGAATAGTAGGAAAGACTTTAACTCGGTACGTTGCTTATGCGTATAACCATTAATCCGTATTGTTTAGATTTTGGAAAATCAACTATCTCTTCATTTTCATCTTCAATAGCCGCTTCTCCTTTCGGCTCGCTGAGGCAGACGCGTTCGAGCAGTGCTTCCAACGTTCCCGATCCTGTGCCAGAGTCTGAGCTTCGGCAAAAGACAAATGAAGTCTGGAACAGGTTCCTTCTGTATATTTACACAAGGTTATCTTGGCCTCTTGCCGATCGGTTGGTCAGGCAATAGTTGCTGAGTCTTATTTTCTGGAGGCATTTGCAAAACGTACTCGAACCATCGCAGCTGTAACTTTTCAATCAGAAGATGCAGCGGCTATACGCCAAACCTCTTGCGGATTTCTCTACTCCGGACCATGTCAAGATCACGATTAAGCCCAGCGATTCGTCTCAGAAAACCCATTTCAGCCATTGAAAATTTTCAGTCATGGTTTATGACTCATGACTTAGCTCAGCATAGGGATGAAGATCCACTTAAACACCGAGATTTTAGTCTTCATATTCAGCCCTGTTTTAGTTACAGCAGATCTTGCTGGATCACGCAAAAAGCCCCTAGCGATTCTAATTCACTGTTGATCACGTCCATCTGTTTTCCATCGACATGACCCTGACGTAGATGATCTTATTCACCTACTTTTCCGTTTATCTGAAGAATGCAACGGGCAGAAGAACGATACAGCACTACGCCTTTCGTTTTAGACAAGTTTAGACCCATGCCGGCAAACTCATACTCAGCTGCGAACCTTTCCGTCGGGTGCTGGAAACCAGCTTCAGAACATGACAGCAAAACAAGGTCGTCTGCAAACAGCAATCTTCTCGTCTCCTTCACCGATACACTCATCGCCCTGGCCGCATCTGATTATTCTTTCCATGTTCAAAACAAAACTGAGAGGAGATGACGCAGCCATGGGGAGACCGGTGTTAACACTGAAGCGTTTCGACTTAACGTCAGTTACTCTCTGACGCAACATCTGCAATCAGCATATAGTGACTGGACAGCCCGTAGCAACTGGCCCCCGATCCCATATGTTCGCAGGCATGCCCACAGACTGTTGCGCTGGATCCGGTTATAGGCTTCCTCTAAGACAACAAAACACAAGTACCCCGGATTGGTGATCTATGATTTCTGAACATTCTGTCGCAGGGCAGATTTATGGCCAGAGGTGGTTCGGCTAGGCCGGAAGCCACACTGCTCTTCTTGTACCTTGGAGTTGGTTATTCCGCGGCACCTCCTTTGTAGCACCTTTGCATAGACTTCATCTGAGAGGCTCAATAAGAAAATGCCCCGATAATTCGAGCATTCCCTGTGGTCTGTCTTTTTGAACAGAGGTATACGATTTCCGTCCTCCAGCCTACTTGTGTCTTTCCCGTAGCCATTGCAATTTGACAGCACCTGCCTTGTTTACCTATTGCTTTGAGCGTTTCAGAGCAGATTTCATCAATTCTAGCAGCCTTTTCTACTTTTCAAGCTTTTTCACAGCTTGTGTAATTTCGTCCACAGAGATAGTAATATCTGTTCCCTGCTGCTCAGCAGGCGAGACTTCCAGCAGTGGCTCAGGATTAAAGAGTTCTTCAAAGTACTTTCTCCATTGCTGAACAATTTCCAATCCTCTGCATATGAGTGTCGAGATTTGTCTTTCAAGACTCTCTGACTGCCCTTCTTTTCACCTGGTAGCCGGCGGATTGTATGCCAAAATACCATATTTACCGTCTGGAAATTCTTCTCCAACAGCTCACCGAACTTCTCCCAGGAGTCAGTTTTTGCTTTCGCTGCCGCTTTGCGCGCTTTTGCCTATCGCATGTGAGTAGAAGGCCAAGCCGTTTTTGCATGTAGCCTACTTCTTTTTAACTGCCAGTTGTACCTCCGTGTCCACCAGGAGGTTGTTTTCTGACTTCCTGGCATCAAGCCAACCATTTTTGATCCACAGCATTTGGTAGTAGCCCTGATTACGCTGCTCTTGAAGAGGTTCCACTTTGTTTCCGCATCAGCGTTCATCTCCGGGATCTGTTCAGACCGTCATGCGATGTTGTTTTGCTATCTTCAGTGCTCGATGCAGGTGTTCATAATTGACAGTGCGTTGTGTACACAAAACTGCAAAGTTTCATACCGTTGTTGTTCAGTTCGCTAGGGCCGTTCTTTCCAACCAAGTCTCTCCACTTTTCAGCGTTTTCTCTGACATGTGCATTAAAATCGCCCA